GGGGGGGGGGGGGGGGGGGGGGGGGGGGGGGCGCACCTTCTCGCTGATGGCCTCGGTGATGTTGAACGACACCCGGTTGGTGGTGATCTCGGTGAAGCTGCTCTCGGACGCAGCCAGGCCGAGCAGGCTGGCGAGGAGAACAAGCGTAGCCAAGAGCAGCGGCGCCATCGCGAAAGGGCGACCAGCGCCCCGGGCATGAAGCCCCAGGCTGGTTGTCATGGCGGGCTTGAGAATGACCGGGGGAGGGGGGAGGGCGGCGGGCAATGGTGTGAGTCGGCGTGCATTCTCTCGCTCGGGCGGGACAAAAGAGCAGGGGACTCACCGTCACGGGGGAAAGGAGAGAGGGGGAGGGAGGGGGAGAGAGAGGAGGGGAATAAAGAGAGACACTCCAGGTGGGGAGGGGCAGAGTGGGGGGGGGGGAGAGAGAGAGAGAGAGAGAATGGATGGTGCGGGTTACACCAGGGGGGGGCGTCCCCCGGTCCGCGGCCCTCCTTCTTCTGCGCCCCCGGAGGGAAAGAAGCCCGTCAGCACACCAGGACCGGCCAGCCATTCCGAAGCCAATCGGCTCGGCTAGAGCACCTCCCGCCGCCCCGAAGCGCGTCCCGGGCCGCCCCCGCCGCCGGGGGAAGAGAGCTCCCGCACATCCAGGTCCTTCCTTTGGCAGGCGGGGGGGGGGGACGGCCGGCCGACAAGACGTGAGGCCCCAGTTACACAGGGACCTCCCAATGAACAGCACCTCGGGAAGACTGTCACACATACCGATATGCCCGCGTCCGCGCCTCGATCTGGTCCAGGCCCGAAGGGGGACCGCAACTGTCATGTTTCGGGCCCGCCTCCCGGTGTCCGAGCAAGTGAACGAGCTCGCGGTCCCCAAGAGCAGCAGCCCCCCCGCCCCACACCGCCCCCGGCGAGGAAGCCCAGCCCGGACGAGGCCGCCCCCCAGACCGAGGCAATCGGCAAGTCTCCGGGGAAAAGTGTCAGGCCGATCAGCCGCCCTCGGGAGGGCACATGACCGGGGAGCCGGTGGCGAAACCGCGAGTGCCAATGGATGGCCGCCCGTCCAAGGGCCGCCCTCGCGGCTGCTCCGGTCTCCCGGCCTCAGATCGCCCACCCCAGCCATGCCTCCCCTGCCTGTGGCATTTCCGCTCTCCCCCCCCCCCCCTCCCTACCTCGCCCCCTTGCCTCGCCTCTTCTTTTTTTTCTGTCTCCTTTGCGCCCGGCCCGCCGCACCGCTGCCTCCTACCCTCGCCGGGTGTCTTGGCTCCACCCACCACGCAGATGGGTGACGGGGAAAGCCCGACCAAACGGGCCCGGACGGCCGATCTCGCGGCGGCCGATGACCGACAGGCCGACAGCTGCACCATCTGCCTTGGGCCCTGGGGGTCCTCCGGGGGTCACCGCCTGGTGGCCACCTCCTGCGGGCACCTGTTCGGTGAGAGGTGCGCAACGGGCAAATGGGCCCCCTCCCGCCACAAGACCATTCATGGTGTCCTGACCCCGGTTGGCCTCGGTCCTCCCTGGCGCGGAAAGCTGCATCATACGCTGGCTGGCCGAGCAGTCGGTGTGCCCCTCCTGCATGGCGCCGACACATGCGAACACCCTCCGGCCAATATTCTCCGCGGCCATTGTCACGCAGGACGTGGCACGCGTGGCCACGCTCGAGGGCACGGTCGCCGCTCTGGAGGCCGAGCTGCGACATGTCAGCCACGACCGGCAGAACCTGCATGCGGCACTGGCCCGGGCTCGGGCCCGGATCGCCGACCTGGAAACCCGCCTACAGCGCGAAATCAATGCGCGCATCAGGTACGCGTCGGCGCCGGGATTTGCCAGCCTCCCACTCCGGCCCGAGAGAGGCCCAGCGCCCGCCGTGCAAGGGGAATCTAACACCAGGACACGTAGCGCCGAGCGATCGGTCCCCGGCTCGCCGGGGCTGCCGGCTGGCCAACTCGCCTCGGCTCCCTTCCTGTCGGTGGCATGCTCCGAATCCCGGGTATTCGATGTGGATCCAATCCACGGGTTCCTGGTGACGGCCACGCGAGCCCCAAATGGCCAGGGGTTCTCGCTGCTGAAGACCTCGCTCAATGCACCGGACCAGGTGGCATACGTGCACCGGGCGCATGCGTCGCACGTGCGCGACATGCAGTTCAGCCCGCGCGGCGATGCGGTTCTCCTGACGGCCTCCATCGACAAGTCGGCCAAGCTCTTCTGCATGTCCTCCGATCGGACCATCTGCCCGTGCGTGCACCTGTGATGTCCTCCCCCCCCCCCCCCCCCCCCTGCGCAGCCTTGTACCTTTTTCCCGCGGGCTGGCTCATCTTTTGACACCGCCCCGCGGCGCGCAGATTCAACCTCCCGGCCGGGATTTCATCATGCGCCTGGCTGGCCGATTCGCCCTTCGGCCTGGCTCTCGGGCTGCTCAATGGCACGACGCATTTGTTTGACACACGCTTCCCGAGCGTCGCGCGCGAGGTTCTCCCCCCGCCCCATGGCCGGCCAATCCCGGTCCAGGGTCTTGTCCCAGCGGCGCTGGGCAGCTGGCTGACCGGAGGCCACGCCGCGAAGGAGGCATCCCCGGGGGCCGAGCACGAGGACCGCTCGCCAGAGGAGGCCGCCGCCGCATCCCCGAAGCCAGGACTCTTCATTTCCACGCTCAGCGGCTCGTTCTTGGCCGTGGACGGCCGGCCCGCGGTTCCAGTGGACAAGCTCCTGCCGGAGTCCCTGCGGCCGCCAGCGAACTTCCGCCAGCTGGTGTCGGTCTCCTTCGATGAGACATCGCAGCAGCTGTACCAACTGTTCCGCGCGTCGACCGGCGAGACCTGCGCCCTTGTCCGGGGTTGCTTCGCCGGGTGTGCAAACGCCAGCTGCTGCCGGCGCTTTGCCTGTGCAACGGTTTCCCCGCTGATCCTCTGTCGAGTTCATAACTTCTCCCTCGGCCGTGCACCGCACTTTGTCTCGATCGATCAAGCTCGAGAAAAGGTGCGACTCTGATGGAAGGGGAGGGGGGGGAGGGGAGCCAAAGGAAAAGGGCAAATGGGATGGAGAGGCAGGGGGCGGGATGTCGAGGGGTTGAAGTGACTGACACCGCTGTGCTGGTTTTTGGGCAGATCCTTGTCAACCGTTTCTCCGATGGCCGCGCGGTCTTGGAAATGCACACCGGTGGCGAGGGCACGTTCGGCAATCCCCCCACGACCGGGAGCGTCGACGCCATTTCCTTTGTCCGACACTTCCAGCACCCATCCTATGGGGATTTCGTCGGCTGGACAGACTCCAAGTCTCTGGAGATTCGGAGAATAAACACCCCCAACGCTTGATTCTTTTTCTTTGAATCCTTTTTTCTTTTTACATAGATACATCTATTTAAAATCGCGGGGGAGTGCACTTTTGTAGTAATTTCTCTAATTAATGGCAAGAAAGTCCTTCAATTCTGTAGTTACTTTATTACGAAGGAAAAAATATTGTAAAAGCAGTACTTGATAACCATAATTTTGTATTGTCACTTGTTTTATCTTGTTTTGTTGGATGCCATCCCTTGTATCAACCCTAATTTTCTCGCTCCCGCCGCACCTGGTTGGGTACTTGTGATGGCCATCATCGAGAGGGTCGCCTTGCTCTGAGCACATCCCGGACCACTTGCCTTCCTCCAAGCCCCCTCTTTTGGGCGCCTTTCCGCCCAGCGGACATGCCCTCCCCGCGATCTCGGCGCCCCTTCAACCGGGGTGTCGCGGGAGTGCCGCTCCCTTCTTGCCCTTCCTTTTTGGAAGAGCTCGTTTCGCTCTCCTCCTCCTTCCCCTCCTCATTGCTTCTTCGGGCCAGAGAGGACGAAAGTTCCACCAGGCCGACGATCGGGTCACTCCCTTCTTCGGGACTCTCGCATGAAGCAGATCACCCTCAGCCCACGTCATCATGCCAGCGACTGCTGTCCTCATCTCCAGTCCACTGCAGCTTGGGTCCCGGCCGTGGAGCCGAGGAGAAAGCGCTTCCCTCATTCAAACCCGGTGCCCGAGGCAGGCCATCTCCTCCCAACCTGGTCACCTCCTCCCCTCGATGCATCGACGGTCCGGCAGGAGGCAAGCGTCCGGGATGCACGTACCCTCTTTGGCCAGGTGGGAAGGCGCCCCACAGGAAGGCATCAAAGGGTGCTGAGTGGCCTGCCGTCCGTGGAAGACACCGATCCGGCTGGACCGGCACTTTTGCCTCGCCATTCTTTTGCTTTCCCAGCCTCTCCAGCCCCAGGTCCCTCCAGCCCCAGGTCCCTCCAGCCCCAGGTCCCTCCAGCCCCAGGTCCCTCCAGCCCCAGGTCCCTCCAGCCTCCTTCCTGGTGGGGGCTCAAGTGTGCCATGCTCACCCGGCTCCCGGGTCGACATCCGCCAGGGCCCGCTGAAATGGTCAAAATCGAGAGTGGACCGCCCCTCGGGAGAGGTGGCCTATTTCCGTGTCCTGGCCACGCGCTGTGCCCTCCTCAGCTCGGAAGAGGGCATGCATTCCCTCTGGCCTGGGGGCTCTAGATCGGCGATGGGCATTCCCCTCACCGCCGGGAGAACGCATTCCAGGATCATGCACGCCGGCACCACTCACGAGCGCCATGAGGAAAGATGCCGAAGCTCCCTGGGGCTGCTGTCGGGGACGCCAAAGGCGAACTCCTCCTCGAAAGTGCACACCTCCCCAAGGTCACAGCCAAAAGATGTGGCAGGGGCCCGCCCCTCAGTGAGTGGATGGTCAAGCCCACAGGAGGTGGCCGGAGGGGCTGCCGGGCGGCGGGGGGATCGTCACCGACAAGGGGCGCGGGAATCCCAACGCAAGTGTGCATGTGTCTCAGGCTCAAAAGATCAAAGAGATATATTGTTGCCCATGCTCTCGGGACACCGAGAAGGACAGGCGAGGGAGTGGGGGAGGAGCAGAGGGCGCTACGAAGGCATCAGCTCGGTCAAGTAGAAGGTGGCATCCGTATCAGCGTAAGACTCGCGCCGGCGCTGTAGAATGCGAATGATGTCCTGCGGGGTGAAGTTGAACTCCCGGGGCGGATACTCGACAAGGGTGTCGGCTGTGCGCGGGGGCGTGGGGGCGTGTGAGGAAGAGGGACATGCCGGCAGCGGGGGGAAGGGAGCGTGGAGAGTGGGGAGCAAAGAGGACAGCATGTGCCGGCACAAGACGTACAACCGCGCGGGAAGGGGGTGTTGATGGAGAGGGACTTGTGCAGAGAGACCAGGGTCGAAGTGGGCAGCGAGGAGAGCGTCAACTGGATCGACGTGAAGCGGGACATGCTCTCCAGGTACAGGCGGCTCTTGCGGGCGTCGTTCCGCACCAACAAGTAGGCGGAGTAGATGTCTAGGATTTCGCGCGCGAGGAAGGCCGGGCCGATGGTGTTCTCGCAGTTGACACTCCGGAAGAGGACCCCATTGATGTGCCCCCAGAGGCAGTAGAGGAAGCTGATCTGCAGCTTGGACCGACCCAGGTGCCGGAGGACCACGCTCAGGCCGCGGTCGATGATGCTGAGCGACTCGTCCAGGGCACTGACCAGGAGCTCGCCCCGGCGGGCGGAGCTCGAAATCTTGGTGATCTCATACAGGATGTCCGCCTGCGAGGGGACCACCCGAACGCTGTTGGGGCGCTTGCTCTCGCCCAGGCTGCCAGGCAGCAAGGAGGAGAGAGATGTGAAAAGGGAGGAAGAGGAGGAGGAAGAGGATGGCGAAGAAGAAGAAGAAGATCCGGTCTTGCTGGTGGAGGGCGACCCCGGGGAGCCGGGCCCGGTGGCCGAGCTGCCCGACCCCTTGGACGACTTGAACCACAAGACTGCATGGCGTGTTCCCGGGGGCCAGAATCAGGAGGGAGGGGAAAGGGGGGACCGCAAAGGGGCAGGCATTTGGAAGGGTCAGCCAGCGGGGGGTCACGGGCAAAGAGCCAAGGGAGGAGGAGTCGGCAAAAACGCACAGGTGGAGTCACTGCCGGAAGAGGAGCGTGGCTTGCGATTGGACCCAGCCGGGCTTTCCGACGGATCCTTGGCGGGGGCCGGTGGAATCAGCGACCGGAGCAGGACCGTGGGATCATTGTTCAGGACCTTCAGAATGTTCGATGAAAGGGAGAAATTGATCTGACGCCGGAGCAGGAGGCGAATGGACGCGTGTGTGAGGAAGAGGGCGAAGAGAGAGAGAAAGAGAGAGAGAAAGAGAGAGAGAGAGAGAAAGAAAGAAAGAAAGAAAGAGAGAGAGAGAAAGAAAGAGAGGGAGGGAGGATGTGGCGAGGGCATTCACCTTCGACGACAGGAGGTTGATCAGCATCAACAACGAGCGCGACACAATTTGCTTGCTGTCGTACACCGGCCCGGAGGCCAGGAACCCCAGGTCGGCCGGGACGGTGGCACGCTCCAGGGCAAAGGTCCTGAAGCGACCGGCATCACGCCACAGGGAGAAGACCGCCGATAGGGTGATGGCCGGGCTGACGGTGAAGAAGGCCGACGGGGAGACCCCCTCGACCTCCTGCTGCAGGCCGTCCACCGGGGAGTCGCCGCCTGCGGCCCGACGGAAGAGGGTCGCCTGCGGCATGGAGAAGGCCAGCCAGATGGCACGCAGGGCACCGGTCGGCAGCGTGGCGGCGGCCGATGTGGCCGAGGCCAGGAGGCCGGACGAGAATTCGGTCAAGCGCTGGCGGTCAGCCAGCGACGTGGCCCCGGCGCCGGATGCCGTCGGGCCGAAGGCCGGGTGCCGGGGATCATCTGCCAGCTGGAACATCTGCGCCATGTGCCCGAGAGATTCGCGAGGGTGCGCCGAGTAGAGGGTGCCATGAAGCAGACACGACGCACCGGCGGCAGGCCCGGCGGCCGGGCTGCCGAGGCCGTCGCCGAGACCGGCACCGGTGTTGCCACCGCGAGACAGGGATGCGCACGAACAGAAGGACCCCATGTTCCCGGCGAGCCCCGGCCCGGAGGCAGTCTCCAACAGGAACCGATGGCAGAAGGCCGTCCGACAGGGGCCACCACTTCCGGAGGCCGACGCCGCGCAGGACCCCAGTCGCAGGGAAGCGGTTCGGCTGGTCGTGGCCCGGAAGGGAGACCCGGGCCAGGTGCTGGGGACCGGCTCGGAGGTGCCCAAGGCCGAGGACTCCAATTCAAAGAGCGACTGCCGCACGAAGGTCGAACACTGGGCCGAGAGCACCGCCTGCAGGAAGCCCGGCCGAGCGGTGAAGCGCCGGCGACAAGTGATCACCGGCTCCGAGGGGGCCGCCGGAGGGCCGGGACTTGGCAGGGCCACATCCGTGGCCCCGGTGGCCAACAGGCCAGGAGCCAGCTCGGCATACAGCTGGTCATGGACATCGCACAGGGCCTGCAAGTTGTTCAAGCGCATGCACATGGACTGGGAGAGCTCGAAGAAGAGCCGGGACTCGGTCATCGAAGAGGTGGCCCGCGTGCGCAGCAAGTCTGCCACGCTACGCAGGTAGGGATACCCGATGGGGGTCCCGCGGAGGTCGAACTCCGGCCGCGAGAGGCTCATCAACTTCTTGGAGAACTCCTCCGTCACATAGGACAAGTCGTGATAGGTGATGCGCAGGACATAGTCGCTGGCGAACTTGAGGACATGCTCGCGCAGGAGGTCGGCCACTGCCCGCGGAAGGCCCCCGGCGCTCGGACTCCGAGCAAAGGCCAGGGCCGAGTCGGATTCCAGCAGCATAGGGCCGAGCCGATGGTCCAGCGGCTCGGCCGACGACCGGGCCGGATCGAAGGGCAACACCCGGAAAGCCGACAGGGGGATGCCACTGTCGGAGGGCGACATGGTGGCGGACACCGTCGGCCCGGTGACCGGCGCCTGGAGGAAGTCCAACGACCGAGTGGCGCGCATCATGAACACCGAAGAGGTGAGCAAATCCACCATGGACGAACTGCAATTGAGGCGGATCACCCCATCGCCGGTGGCCGCGGCCAATGCCAGGGCCGAGCCCAGGAAGGGTGACTGGGGCCTACTCGAGCCGGGCGGCGGCGGCGGCGGCGGCGGCTGCTGCTGCTGGGCCGGGGCCCCGACAACCGCCGAGAATCCCCCCGTCATGTTGGCCAGCGTCGAGAGCATGGCCACCGTCGGGGCACGAAGCTGCACCGGAGCATAGGTGTCCCGATCGACCGAGGCATTCAGCCAATGGCCGATGACGGTGCTGGTTTGCAACATCCAAGCAACCACCACTCCCTGGAAGACCGTGCGCCAGGAATCGAGGCTCTCATCGGAGGGGGGCCCGGTCGGGACACCCTCCCGGTCGGAGGCATTGCCGGGGGGTTTGCCAGCAGCCCGGGTGCCCGAGGCCGGCTCCGGCAGGCCGCCCGTCGGCGAGGGGGGAGACGAATTCCCCGGCGAGGAGGAAGGCGCATCGCTCGGCAAAACCACCAAGTTCAGCCGACAATCGCGCGTCATGTACCCCAACTCACGCCAGCGCTGGGTGACCGCATGCAGGCGGTGCGCCAGCCGGAAGGAATGCCGATCAATGGTGTGCACACGGTCATTGCGCAGGGCCGAGAAGGAGGACTTGGCGAAGCTGGCCTCGGTCAGCAGCCGCAGCGTGTCGCTGGCCGACAGCTCCGTCGGATAGGCCGGATAGTCGCGTCGAGCCCCGGAAGCCGGGGCATCGAGCCCGGCGCCCACAACGCCGGGACCCGCTGCCAGGAGATCGGCATCATGCTGGGAAAGGGGCCGACCGGGGCGCGGCCCGAGCGTGTCCCGGGAATCCCCCACACCCGAAGAACCCGACACACTAGAGCCGGAGGAAACCGACGAGGAGGAGGCCCCGGAGGAGGTCGACGATACGGATGTCGACAAGATCGACCCCGGCGGGGGAGGCAAACCGGAGCTGCTGGGCGGGCCGGCCGCCACAGGCATGGCACTGGTGGAGGAACCGGGCCGGGTCCCTGCTGCCGCCGGGCCGCCGGCTGCACCTCCACCGGCTGCGCTGCTGTTGCCGCTGCCGCCGCTGTTGCCGCCGCCGCCCGTGCCGGCGCTGGCTCCGCCGACATGCCGGCCGAAGGTACGCTTGGCATTGGTCCGCGCAACGACCGTGCTCAGGGCTGACGCCTCACTGAGGGCGGAGAAGGCCTTGCCCAACAAGGGAGCCGATCGCCGGCTCAGGTGAGTCTCGGTCAGGGAGAAGCGCACAAAGTCCACATGGAACAGCCCCCAGAAGACATCAAGGTAAAGCTCCAACAGGGAGAAGCTAGGGGCAAGGAGAGGAAGGGGGGGGGGTTAAAAAGCCGGCAGGCAGGCGGCTGCCCAAGAAGAAGGACCAGCAACCGGGAGGCAACAGAAGAGCGTGGCGGATGGGGAAAAGGAAGGGCCAGGCACGCACTCGGACATGGTATTGAAGAACTGCACCACGCCCTGGGCGTCGGCCTCGATGCGCTCAAAGAGGATGAGCAGACGCCCGGCGCTGAAGTCCACGCCGACATCCCGCCGGGCGAGAATCTCCGCCAGCCCGGCAGCCGAGGCCATACGCGGGTCCTGCACCGCCAAAGCGCAATACCGCACGATGAAGCTGTGCTCCAGGAACATCTGCAACATGGTGGATGCGGTGGACTGCGCGCGCGCCCTGCCAGCATGCTCGTACGCCAGACGGCTGTGGCACTGGGCAAAGAGAGTCCGCTCGCGCAAAGCCAGCAGCCCGTCCCCGGCCTCGGGCAGGGACCGGTCCACCGGCAGCAGGAGGTGCGCTTGAGACCCGCCAGGAGCCCCGGGGCCCGCCAGCCAGAAAAGCCGCGTGGCGCCCGACCCCCCGGCGTACAGTCGCCGGACCAGGTCCGGATAGGGAGATGTCTCGGACACGGTCGGCGCCCGGAGGGAAGATATGGCCGGCGAGGAGAACATCGTCGTGTGGCGCAGGTTCATGGAATTGCCCAGCAGCGTCGCATTGACCAGACACGGGGGCCCGCCGGACCCGGGGGCCTTTGGAGTCCCACTGCCGGAGCCACCCGTGGAGTTGGTGCTGCCACTACTGCCAGACCGGCCGAGCCCCGAGTCAGCCGGGCCCATGCCGGACCCACCATCGGCGCCGGGGCCGCCATGGTGCTCGTCCGCACCGAAAGCCCCGCCAGTCGTGTGGCTCGCTCGGCACGGGAGGTACTGAAGAAGCTCCGCCTCGATGGAGCTCGGGGGTTGCGTGTTGCCCCCGGCCCCGGAGTCGCCGGTCTGAGCGGCTGCCCGGGACAGGGACCCAGCCAGGAGCTCGCTGATGCTGGACATGGACAGCAAATGCCCGGACCCGGTGTAGTTGATGTACTGCGGGGGGCCGATGGCACCGATGCTGAGTGCCTGCTCGATGGCCGCTCGCAGGGTGGCCAGCGTGGCATCCATCTCCAGAGGTGGGACATTCAACTTCAGGTCTAGCAGGACCTGACGGATGGACCGGAAGATGCAAAGCTTCACGCCGTGCGCCAGCTCACGCTTTGGAGCGGGAGGAAGAGGGGGGAGGGGGGGGGACAGAGAGTGTGCGAAAGAAAGTGCGTGTGAGGGAGAGGCAACGAAAGTAGGAGAAGAACCCCACGGGCAGGATTGGTGTGAGGAGAACACAGGGCGGAAAGAAAGTAGACCGCCAGAAGACAGAAGAAGGCGAGCAGAGTAGACGCACCTCGAATGGGCAAACCATGAGGGGGCGCTTGGTGACCATCTCGGCGAAGAGGCCCGGCCGCCCGCGGCCGGTGTACTCCGCCACGCCGCACAGACCGAAGATGAAATTCAGCTGCTCATCCAGCAGCTGAACGTACTCCTCGGATACACGGAAGTGGATGGACATGAAGACCAGCGGCAGCAGCAACAGAGAAATCGGCGACACGGCATGGCGCAGGGACATGGCGAAGAGCGAGTGATTCAGCATATTCAGCGACTCGAGGCTCGAGCTGGAGGCGCCGGGGCAGGGGGGGCGGGGGGGGTGTCAGAGGCTGGCCTGGAAAACGCCCGGGATCGAGGCAACAAGCGGACAGGGGGAGCAGACAGAGCGGCAATCCACGACAAAGGCAGAGACAAAGGGGCAACGCACAGGCCGGCGGTCGCGGCGACCTCGCCCGGTCGGGCATACAGCTGCAGAGAGGCCATCCAAAGATCGACAATGGTGGCCGCACGCAGGGTGGCCCGCTGGCTGGCCGACAGGAGCTCCGACGCCCGAGCCGGGAAGGCGGACGACACGACAGCCAGCACGCTCAATGGCTGGCTGTCCTCAGCCTCACCGGGCATCAGCGGAGAGATGGAGGAAATGGTGTCGATCGAGGACATGGACGAGGAGAGCGACACATCGGGCGACGACACGGCGAAGGAGCGCGCATGGCGGTTGGCGGTGCCGCTCTCCAACTGGCTGAAGTCCAGCTCCACATGCCGGCCAAAGAGCCCCTGCGACACGTGGCGCAGGTGCCCGAGGTAGACATCGCCGCTGGGGGTCGCCGGCGGCGGGGTGCCGGCGATGCTGGCGGTGCTGGCGGTGCTGGTAGCGCTGGAACCAGCGACCGACGAAATGTCCGTATACGAGGCGGCCGTGGCATCGCGGCGGGGGAGCCCAAGGCCGGGGGCCGACGGCCGAGGGCCGAGGCCGCTCAGGGTGCGCGGCCGCCCGGCGCCCGCCGACAGCGGCATCGGGCCAGGCCCCGGGGATGGGGAGGCCGACGCCGGCCCCGGCGAGGGCGAGCCAGCGGGGTTGGTGGCCGAGGACCGGAGATCATGGACACTGACCGGGCGCACCCGGCGATCCGGCGACAGGTTGGTCAGGTGCGAGACAATGTGCGAGTAGAGGGACACCCGCCAGGACTCGAACTCGTCCGTCTCGTTGGAAGCCAGCAAGCCGAACACCGAGGCACTCATGGAGTGCCCCGGCGAGGAAAGAGACCACACCGACAGGGTGGTCATCTCAATGTGCGCGGCCAGGGCATCCCGGCGCAGGTCCCCAAGACGCTGGCCCAGGAAGGCCCCATCGGGGAAGCAATTCCCGCAGGAGACCGGACACACGCAGTTGGCGGCCAGCGTCCGCGCCGTGGTGCTGGCTGCCAGGCGCCCGGTGAAACACTGGCAGGCCGGGGCAATGCTGTCGGCCGGCGGCAGCAGCAGCAGCGCCTCGGCCAGGCCGTCCGGCGGGTTGAGCGGCCCCGGCAGACAGGAGTCCCGGAGGACCTCGTCGGTGGTGTCGTCATCGGCATCGGCGTCCTCATCCTCCTCCCGCAGGCCGGTGACGATGATGTCCATGTCGGCGGCCCCGATGCCAGGGATGACGGCGCCGCCGCCGCCGCCGCCGCCGGTGGCCGGGTGCAGGAGCGCCGGCAAGGCCAGCTGGCTCAAGGGCGAGGGGGGATTCAGCGGCGAGGCCAGCGGCCCGGACGAGCCCCCAGCCGAGGACACGGCCGCCGACGACCGCAGGTGCAGCCGCGCCAACGAGGTCGGCGAGGAGGACGCCCCGAAGGAGGAAGACCGCGAGCGCGAGGCCGCCGACAGCGAGAGAACCGACCGTTCGGTGGCTGCGACCGCCGCGGCCGACGGGGGAATGGTCGTGGCCGTGGGGGCCACCTCGCCCGCGCAGCCGGGAATCGTGCTGAGCGCCGGCAAGGCGCTCCCCGAGGGCCGGCCCGCCGGGCGTCGATAGTACGCGGCCCCCCCGCCGCCACCCGGCGCCAGGGCGTCGGCAAATTGATGCCCGGCATCCGGCAGGCCGGGATGCAGCAATGGCGATAAGGTGGCCGGGCGCGAATGCCGCTCGGCCTGGCTTGGCTGCGGGACCTTCTGCACGACGATTCGGCCAAGCTGGGCAATCAGCTGGCTGAGCGGCTCGCGCCAGTCGGCGGCCACCGTGGCGCTGGCGCTGGCGCTGGCGCTGGCGCTGGCGCTGGCGCTGGTGCTGGTGCTGGTGCTGGCGGCGGCTGCCCCGGTTTCCGATCCCGTCGCAGCACTCGAGACTGTGTCCTCGCGCGGGAATGATGACAACAGACACGACAGGGCCTCGGCCAGCTCGACCGGCATGCGCACCAGGGGGAAGTGGTGGCCCCCAGGGGGGATGTCGGCGTCGGGGCTGGTGCTCCCATCACTCGGGAGGGCATTGGCCGCCAGACGCGCGATGCAAACCCCACTGCCGGTGGTCGGCCCGGCGCACGGCCCGGCGAGGGCCAGCAGGCCGTCCGGCTGGCAGGCTTGCGCGAAGGGAGCGTCCCGCAGGGCCGGCGCCAGGGACGCATGCGCCGAGCACAGGGCCGGCGCCTCGGCCAGGCCGTCGGCCGCCAGGGACCGGCCATAGCGCAACGGCGTGTTGAGGCGCGTCTCCAGCACACGACTGCCGGCCGGCGACAGGTTGGCCTGCGTGGCGCTGGTGATCTGGGAGAGCCTCGGGAAGCCGGTTTCGAAGTCCACCGCCAGGACGCCGGAGCGCCGGAGCAGCCCGGCAATCAAGTTCGGCAGATACATGTGACTGGTGTGGTTGCCCTCGGGCGGGGCATTGGACCCTGAGGGCCCGGTGCCGGAAGATGCTGGCCCGGATCCGGCGGTTGCATCCTCCGACCGGGGAGCGCCCTTCGGGGTGGTGGAGGGCTGGTGCGCGTCGCCGGAGGCCAGCCCTGTGGTGTTGGCCAACGTGGGACCCGGGGCCCCGGCGGGTGGATTGCCCGGGGCATCGATGGCGAGGAGGGACCCGCGCCGGCGGTCGGTCGACCGGGGGGCACCCTGCCCGGGGCCCGCCCCGGCGGCGGGCCCCGAGCCATGAGGAGGCCCACGAACAACCGGCGACAGGTAGGGCTCCAGCACGTCGGCCGGCAGGATGGTCCCTTCGGCGTCCAGCAGCGGGGCGGTGTAGGCATTGAAGTAGCGCCCCAGGCGGTAGGTCATGCGCCCGCCCTCGAGCAGGTGCGACAACGGCGGACCGGCAGCCGACGCCGGCATCGAGGGGGAGCCCGCGTCGGGCCCACGACCGGGGCTGTCGGCGCTGGCTGCCGCCGCTGCCGCCGCCGCCGCCATCGCATCCGATGACTGCAGCTGGTGGTAGTGGAAGGAGTAGAACAACTCGCGCAGGAAGTTGTCCACCGGAGCGAGCGAGACCACCGGCACTCCGCCAGCGGGGGGAACCCGGCACGCATGCTGCCGGCACCCGGCGCCCGGGGCGCAGAAGCGCAACCGCGAGCACCGACACGAGGTCCCGGACGCGGCCAATCCCCGGCTAAAGGAGACCGGCAATAGCCCGGCGCTCGTTCGGGGAAGCGGAGCTGGATTCGGAGCGGGGGCCGGGGCCGGGGCCGGGTCCACCGGGACCGGGTCCGGCGTGATGCCGAACATCGAGGCTACCGAGTCCCGCAGCGAGGGTGACCCGATGGTCGACGACCGGGGGAGCGAGGTGGAGGAGGAGCGCGGGAGCCCGGCCAGAGCGCCCCCATCGCCACTGACGCTGGACCGTGGGGCTGGGGAGACATCGGTGACTGACAGCCGGCCCGCGATGCCGGGCGAGCCGAAGTCCCCGGAGCCCCGGTCGGCCATGGGGGCCTCGGCCGTCGGTCGAGGGGAGGCATGCTCGGCCGAGATGTCCCCGGGTCCGGAGCACTCACTGCCGGCCGAGTCGAGATCCTCGTCTGGCATTTGGGCAAAGTCGAAGAGGTCCACCCGGGCAGGAGCGACCACGTCGCGAATGCTACGAGGGAGGGGGAGGCGGAGAGGGGGGGAAGGAGAAAAGCAAAAATAGAAAGAAAAAAGGAGAAAGACAGGGACGAGAGAAAAGAGGCGTGAGTGGGGGAGGGTGAGGGAGGCGGAGAGGGGGGGGGGAAGGAGAAAAGCAAAAAACAGAGAGAAAGAAAGAGAAAGACAGGAACGAGAGAAAAGAGGCGTAAGTGGGGGGAGGGAGAGGGAGGCAGACAGAGGAATGGCGGAGGACAGGTGCCAGGACGAACCAGACACCGGGGATGAAATCGAAGGCCTGTTGCACGGGAAAGACATCTGACAGATTGGTGAAGGAGGTGGCATCCGAGTCGAGGAAGTCCACCCAGGACCGCTTGAAGGCCTGGTCACCGAGGGAAGGAGGAGAGCACGATCCGTGGTCAGAGATGGGCCGGGGGGAAACACACACGCCAGGCCCAAGAATGGAGGAGGGGCGAAACGCACCTTCTCGCTGACGTCGGTCGGGGCGGCCTCCAGATTATCGATGATGGTGGAAAGCTACGAGGAGGAAGGGGACACGAATGGCCGGACACCGAGGGGAGTCAGTTGCATGAGCCAGGAGCGGTCTGTGAGCCTGAACACCGGCGTACCTTGGCCAGCAACTGGTGGAAGCTCTCGAGGCGCGAGGCGTGGTCATCTGCATGGGCCAGAAAGGGACGAGCAGTCAGATGGAGGAGCAGCCCCAGCAGTATGGCAGAGACAGCCGCAGGGGGGAGGAGCCCGAGGGGGGAGAAGGGGGAAGAAGACGCACCCTCGCTGGAGGCTTCATCTGGGGCCAGGTCGCGGGAGGTGCCATCCGGTGATGGGCCTGCTGGTGAAGGTGTCGGGGCTGCTTGAATGTCCTGAATGAAACTAAGGAGGCGTCGCTGCGCGCGGGCATAGCTCACCTTGGCCATGCGCGTGAGACCATGCTGCTCGCAAAGGACCGCCCAGATATAGAGCCTGGGGCGCGAGGGTGACGGGCCGAGAGGGGGGGGGGGAGGTCCCATTGCCAGGAGTAAGTCGAGGGATGAAGAAGGGGGGGCGGAGGGGAGGGGGGGGGGAGGCACAGAAGCGAGTCACGCACCGTGAGAAGCACCGATGGTTGAGGTTGCTATTGGGGTCCATCAGGAGCTGGTGGGCCGAGGGGCCGGCCAGGGCGTGGCCAGGGCCCCCGGCCCCGACGGCCGGAGAGCCGGGCTTCGGGACCGGGCAGCTGCACGGCGCGCCAGGGCCAGCGCGTGCAATGCACTCGACGCAAACGCCAGTCGGCGTGGCCGGGTGTGTCGAGTCGGCCTTTGCCGCTGGACTGCCCGGGCCGGGCCAGCCAAGCATGGTCCGGTCTGGCAGCGGCGGGGAGGGGTGAGAGAAGGGGGGAGGAGGGGCGATGGTTACGCCGATGTGGGCCGGGTGGTGTTGGGGGGTGGGCGGGGAGGGGGGTGGGGGGGGGAGCGCTCTTCCACCGTCGCTCGCTCGGAGCTATGCGCGGCCCTCTGCACTCGCGCGGCGATGGTAGGGCGAAGGTGTGGGCTGATGGGCCCCAGAGAGCAGGTTAGAGTGGGGGGGTGTACGCGCGTGAGAGAGAGAGAGAGAGGCGAAAGGCGAAAGAAAGAGAGGGGGAAGAAGAAGGATGTGTGAGTGGGGGCCGGGCGATCGGGCGAGAGGAGGGGACGGAGCGGCGGGCAAGGACGAACGGGTCTGGGGGGAGGGAGGGAGTCGAGGGAATGAGGGCGAGGGGAGGAGGGGGGGGAGGGGGAGGAGAAGCGGGGTGCCCAGGTCTCCCAAGTCCCCGGCGGACAGAGAGGGGCCTTGAAGCATTTGCCCCGTCAGCCTTCTTTGGGGGCAGGGGGGGGGGGCGCCCCAGGCTGGCCACCGGACGCAGGCGGGCGCGGACGAGACTGTACCGTCGCCCGCCGCTGGGACGCTGGGGGGGGGGGGTGCCAACTGGACGTTCACTGCCGCCGGTCTAGTCCCCCCAGCCCTGGGAACGACCAAGCGCCCCGGTGGTGCGGCGTCCGGGTCCGCCTTGGTGCACGGGCCCGGGGCGAGGACGGAAAAATGAAGGCCCCCCAGGCTCGCCAGTCGGATGGCCGCCGGGGAAACAACAACACCGAAAACCGGGGCGCCGGCGGCCTGGCCTCTCGATCGGGGACAGGGGCCCCTGGACGCAGGGAATCCTGCTCGCCCGGCCCCTTTTCCGCCGCCGGCCCACCGGGCACGAGAGCCTTGGGGGGGGCGGGGGGGGCGGGGGGGAACATCTGGCCCGTGCAAGGCGCCAGGCGGAAGGCCGGCCCCATGTATACCCCCGGCCCAGGGATAGGGGCGGACCCCCCTTTTTTGTGTGTCCCCGGCCTCCAGTCCCAGCTGGCAGGCAGGCAGGCAGGCGGGGGAGGGAGCTTTGCCGAGGCAATAACAGAGGGGTCCTTTTTCCCCGGCTGGGGCGTCCTGATGTGGGAAGGCAGGGGCCTGCCGGAAAACGGGCGCAACCACGGGAAAGGCAAAAATAATAATGCCCGCCCAAATATACCCACTTTCCGCCTATTGAACGGCGTCCTCCCGGCCCCGCCGGGGGTTCCCCCTCCCCCGGGTCCGGCCGTCCTCTGGACAGAAGGGGGGGGGTGTCTTCCTTCCCCAGGGCCCGAGGGTGCGCGTCTGTGTGTGTGTGTGGTGTGGCTCTGGATCCCCCTTGTCGCGGCGGAAGGGCGGCGGCGGGGCGCCACACAAAAGAGACCAATCCGTTGGAACCGGAGGTTCATAATGCGTTGGTATGTGCAGGCCCTGGACACGTTCCCCCGGCCGGCCGCCCCAGCTTCTCTCCTTGTCCCTCTCCCCCCCCGGCACGGCGGCCTGGGAGTGGTCTGCGGGCGGGCGGGCGGGCGGGCGGGGGGGGGGGGGGGGGCGGGGGGTGCAGCGGCGGCACGGCTTCGCGGAGTGCCGTCCGTACACCGAACCCCATATAAAGGAATTCGACCAGAATCACAATCCGGAGGAGC